CTCTCAGCTTTCTGTAGTTGTACCTTTAACTCTACCTAAATAATAATTACCAATAATTAATGTTCAAATTTAATTTTTTTAACAAAACTTAGGTATACATATAAATGAAAATAGAAATATAAAGAACTTGTGTTTTTACCTTTACAAAACACGTAAATGATAATGGTGGTTAAGTACGTATGTGAAATTGTGCTCTTGGTACTTTTTCTTCTCTCTTTGACCTAGAATTTATATAGTTGCAATGCTTATTATTAAAAGCAAGTAACCTTAACTTCCTTAAAGGTCCTTAAAAACAGGTATAAAAATGATAAATAGAAGACTTTTTGCTTAAAGCATAAGCCCTTTGTTATACATGTTTTAAGATAAGAAGATAAACAATATAACATTTCACGCGGTAAGTACAAATTTAGAAATTGAAAATTGAGGGATTTCAAATGTTTAGATTCATACTATGATACTCAGACTTTTTACAAATCAAATTAGTTAAGAATTTCAGGTTATTGTTTTTAATAACTTCACTTTCACTGTCGGGAGTGAAAAAAGAGTTTTTGCATTTATTGTAGCTGCAGAAGATGAGTCGTTGAGATCTTCGAGTAATTACAGGTGAGCCAAACAAGTAACATGAAATAGGTTAAAAAAAAATATTTTCAAATTTTGTGCTGCTTTAACGAAAGCAGTACCTATGAATTGTTCTGTCGGAACACTCTTGGGCAAAAAAAAGTTGGTTAGGGTTTCTTGATCAAATCTGGATACTAAAATTGTTGTTTTTTTTGGAATTGTTTGAATGCAATTAAATAGGATCTACCGTAATAATTGCGTGTACAATATAAATATAATTTTCACCCACTTTTTTTAATGTTACTTGCAATTTGCTTGTTTTGGTTGTTTTACTAATAAACCCATGCCGTATTGAAAAAGATCGGATAGGGTTTTTATTCTCTATTATTGGAAGAAATGCATATTTTGTACAAAAAATAACAAAAAATGCATTTTGCACTTAGTGATAATGAACTAAGTATATACCTTAATACTTTAATATATTAAGGTAATAGCTTTTAAAACATTTTAAATGTTGGAAGGCGTACAAATGCAAGAGATAACATTTTGAAACCTTCTAGACATCAACAATAAATATGATCAGCCCTACAAAGTGCGTTTCTACACTGATGGAAGGTCTTTATTATTTTTATACCCACTTGAAGATTCCTCAAATCCAATACCTTTAAGTGTAGCCAATAGGAGTTCAACATTAACTAGATTAAAAGGCTTGTTTTGGCTAACAAGACTAAAATAGATATAAAGATAATTATAACAGTAACGATAATAATATAGGTTTTTATTTGAATTATAATCAAGAAAATCAAAACAAGTTAACATTTTGACAACAGGATTCAGTTTAGTAAATATATACCTATATCAAGCAGGCTCGTGGTAAATGTTGATTTTTTTCCAAATTTTTTTTGAGGACGCTATATGGGGCGTAAAATTTGGACAGAATCTGTTTCAATTTTTATAAAAAACAATATGCTAGAAACAAAAGTCACGTTAAAAACAACTGTGATTTTCGTTGCTGTACACAAGATTATAAAGATTTAATAACTGGTTCATATTTAGTCAATTTCAGTGGTACGCATGCAGAGCTCGACTCACGGCATTCTATCCTATATTTATTGAATTCAATTCTAAAAACAGAGATTCACATGCCGACGTCGATGAAAATAGTGATAAAATTGCTTTTGCTAATATTTTTAAACAATCAAACGTGTACATATAGGAGCTGCTCAATTGACTGGTCAATTGACCGACAATTAATTGACTATTCAAATTCGATCAAAATATTTGAAATAACAATTATAGAGTGTTATCTATCTTTATTTAATAATAGCGATGTCCAATTTACCTATAACCCTCTTCAATACCGAATACCATTTTTAGCGATTCCGAGAATCTCAATGAAAATGTCTACTCCATTTAGTTCTCAGAACAACGCGATGGCGACGTAACGCACAGTATAGATAAATATGAATTTCATTGTATTTTTGAAATAATTTATTATTACTTATTTGACCGGCCAATTCTACAACCCTAGTTACATATATTAAACTAGAGTGGTTAAGTACAACTTACTTGTAATCTTAGAATCTAAAACAATCAAACAAACAAACAACAAAACAAAAGTTATCGCTTATTGAGTGTATCGCTAACATAAAATAAACAATATTTTAGTGGTTATTAAATTCCAATTCAAGCGCGAGTGGAGATTTCAAGATTGCCCTGACCTCTCAAAATGCATAGGCAGTGACATTTTCGAATGCTCTAACTCTGAAATTAGGCGTTCCTGATTAAAGGTAGTAAATTCACGAAAATATTCTTAAATATATATCTTGTAGGTCTCGGAGCCGAAAATTGAAGAAACATTTAGGAAAATATGACTTTTTGTACCAACCTAGGCGAATTATTTTCTAACTTCTTGGCTTTTCGATCTTTTTGTAATATTTTTAATAAATTAATTGAATTACTGGGCTTGTCAATTAATTTTCCTTTTACCTTTTCAGAAACATTCTTGTTAGACCAGTTTTTGTTATTACTGGTACAAAATAAGTTGCCATAGTTTTTATATCTTTTTTGACAGAATTTCTAATTCGTCATAATCAAGCTTACAATGTCGATTTAATAGATTTTTAATAATAATATCAGTTAGTCTATCACGATCTTTGACCTTTTGCGAAAACTGCTTCTTCTTAAAAATTCTTCCAAATCAATATGGAAAGTTTGTTTTCTAAGCCATGATGAATTATGCTGCTGCCTGAAACAGTCACAGTACTTTATACTAATATCATCGTCAGCTATTCCACTTATGTCCGTTATATTTTTTGTGTCCCCCCACAAAGGATTCTCCATCATTAGCATCAACAGGAGCTTCCTTTGATATAATTATTACTGGGTTATTATAATCCACCACTTTTTGTTTGTCTCAAAAAAATAAAGGTTAACACTTGCTACATAAGCGTTTTAGATCTGACGCATTAAAACACTTTTAAAATATGCAAAGACTGTAAAAAAATATTATTTGAAAAAGATACATCTACCAACAAAGTAGCATTTCAAAAGTTTTTTGAGATAAATTTCCAAACAAATCTTTAAATATTTGGGAATACAAACTACATTTGTTTTAATAAAATATACAACCAAGAATACGACAAATGATGAGGTTAACATATATGGCTTAATTTTATTATATATTATACTTACTTTAGTATTCAAGGAGTCATATGAGTTTTTGTAACTTCATTTTGTCACCAATATTTTGGCATAGATCATTTATTTGTTTGTTTATTTTATTATATGCCTCTAACGCAACGTAAGTTAGGTTCTATCGGCTTCACTTTCAATTTTCTGTGTACAAGCAGTACCAATCGCTTGTCAACCTGGATCTTTTAGCTGAAAACTTAAAACATGAAAACAAAGTATTAAATTTATATTAAATTATTAAAAACCGATAAACAACATGCAGCATTACAACATAACACAACCTCCAGGTCAATTCGAGCAGCTAGACTAAAATTTCATTGGCATAGAAAAGCCGTAATGCTTCAAATGAAAATATTGAAAATCACTTTGCTATTCAAATTTTTGAAATTTTTTGACATTGGCATAAAAAATGTTAATTATAGGATGGAATTTTCTTTCAAAAACCTCAAAAATTTGACCATGTTGTGGAGATATAAGATTTTTTTTTGTACACCAGTTTTTGAATTTAAGTGCTTCGTAATGAAGTACAAGCCCGGTTCATAAAAAGGAAATATCTGAATTATGATAGTAATAGAATAGAATAGAATAGAATAGGTTTTAAACATGAATGAATATATATAAACTAATATTGTTTTGTTTAGTTTCTCAATAATGTAATCTGGTCTAATATTTTAAATTACATTACATTCCTTAATGAATGTATTTACATACATTTAAATATTTTCATCATATGTCTTAAAGGCTGCATTTCAAGAAGATTCGTGAATCCATCTAAATCTAGTGTATACGAGTATACCAAAATTGCACAACTCCAACACCAGCAGTGGCAGTGGCAATTTGAAAATTATATCCAATATAACCCATGAAAGTCTATAGAAACAAAGGCAATAAGATTATATCAAACGCATTTATATAATAAAAAGAATCACAAATTTATAATAAAAAACAACAATGATTTTCAGTCAAATGCAAAATACTCGAACTAAATACATTTCTTTGTAACAAGGGAAAAAATACCTTTCGACCTCCAGATAATGTCAAACTTCTTTAAAATCAAGAGTCGTTTGTATCAGTGTAGATAAGAATTTGATTTCATTTGGAAGCAACATCCTTGCCAGTTAAAATTTAAATAATCGTCATAAAACTCTTTATAAGAATGATTACCCACCGTCGAAGACTCCCCCCGCCCCCGTAACTTACAAACTACCGTTCAGCGGGCCCTCTCATAACATTATTCAATAAAGCATCCCAAATCCCCAGACAATTACAGCGGCGCGCGATCCGACACTCCGAAACGATAAACATAAATCCACTTTTAACAACATCCATATATACCGGCCATATTAAAATGAATCTTTCCTCAAATAAAGCGATTTATTATCGAAACCGCGCGGCCCCGTGCCATTGGCCGAGACGAATCGCTTAACTATGACTCCCGCCGAAGCCAATTGGTGCGGCGGAAAAGGAAGGCTCCGGCGACCGGTGGGCGTGTCCCCGCGTGCCATTGTTCGGTCGCGGCCAATCGCGGCCGCGCGGGGCGTCGCCCGTCCTTTTAATCTCTCTAAATACCCGGCGAGGATCAATCCAAACAGTCTCGCACTTAAATCCACTGAGGAAAGTACACAACCAAGTCAGTTTGTTTTTGTTTAGGTGGGCGCGCACAAACACATACACACACACACTGACGCACACGCGGGTGTGATGTTGCGGTTTCGTTTAGTTTAGTGTGCGCGGAGGTTTCGAGAAAAATGCCGCGACCCAGCAGGGACTCCTACGGCGACCAAAAACCCCCTTACTCGTACATATCGCTGACGGCGATGGCGATATGGAACTCGCCCGAGAAAATGCTCCCTTTGTCCGAAATTTACAAGTTCATCACCGACCGGTTCCCGTACTACCGCAAAAACACGCAGAGGTGGCAGAATTCGTTGAGACATAACCTCTCTTTCAACGATTGCTTCATCAAGATACCGAGGCAGCCCGACCGGCCCGGAAAAGGTGCCTATTGGGCTCTCCATCCGGCAGCTTTCGACATGTTCGTCAACGGTAGTTTGTTGAGACGACGCAAACGTTTCAAACTCCTTAAAAGCGACAAGGAGATCTTGGAGAACGAACTCGCGGCCCTCACCAACATCAACAGGTTATTTTTCACGCCACCGCCCGCAAATCCAGCGGAATTGGTGAACCCGGCTGCGTCGGTGGTACCAGGTGGTGGTATCGTTCCTCAATTGGAACCGGCTTCGCCGACCCTGGGTAAGACCGCCGGAGCGGAGTCCACGACCTGTATCAGGCCCAAGAGGTCTTTTACGATCGAGAGTCTGATATCTCCGGACAAACCGACGCCCGTGACACCCAGCGCGACCCATTTAATTCCTCACGTTCATCCCTGGGTTCTGTCGTCGTGTTACGACCTGTCAGCGTACGCTTCGCCCATGCTGATGCAGTCCACGGCTTCCAATCCTTACGATTACGGGCTAGGCAGCAACAGCGAGGAATTGTTCAGGGTGTCTCAGTTATAGCTGCTAGTTTGGTGACAGGCCGCTCATGCGAGGTGCTGCTGAGGTATGTCGCGGCGAAGAGACCACGAGAAAGACCAAATAGGTTGTCGATCCCAGTATACTTACGCCATGTTTGGATACGGACGTCGCGGCATCATCAAGTCGGTAACCAAACGACGAGGTGTCATGCTGATACTCGACTACAGCTTGAACTGATTGATTTAGGGTAAGTGCGCCGTTCTTGGCCATTTAACAAGAACCTGAGCTCTAGAAGCACTATATAAACGTTTAAATCTATTGGGATTTTGTTCTGGAAAGCGTTAAAAGTATTTCGAAATGATTTGTGCGTATGGTAGCAAAATAAATGAAGAAATTGTCGCTGATCCTTAAGAAGGATCGGTTTGACTCGTTATCGGCCACTAAGTATTGGTTCTCGATCATTTCTGAGCAATATTTTTTTGACCAAAGCCATCCTTTGATGATAGTAATAGTACCCATACACGTATCTAAAAGCAGTTTAAAAAATAGTATAGTATAGTATAGTACAAATAGTTCAGGCTTTCCTAACGATTCATATATTGTTGTCTTTATTTTATTATATTTTTTAAACTAATTCCCGCACCCGTACCTTTCAAATCAATTTAAATAGCATACTTCTTTATAATCATATTCAAGAAGAAGCATAGTAGAACGGTATAAATTAAAAAAACAAAAGTTTTTTTGATTTAGCATTAGTATATTAATTGAGTGTCCTCAAAATGAAGCTTGACTGACCAAATTACAGATTTACAAAATACATGTATACAGTGAAAGGCTGAAATATGGAACAAACTCATTTAAAAATCAGGTATTGGATTCGAAAAAAATTCCCGCACACGTACATCGTCTTGCGCATTATTTGTAGTAGATAGAAAATGTACAGGGTGGGGAAAAAGGTAGATGTCGATATCACGTTCGTTTTTTAAATGAAACACTTTTTTTTAACTATTTTCGAATTCTGCTTCAAAATTAACACTTAATGTAGGATACTCTTTGGTTTTCCTGATTTTGTATCGAATTTTAAATTTTGCATCTAAATATAGGTTTTTATTTATACGGGGAAAGATCCAGTGGAGTAATATATGGGTATCTTGAAGACCAGTCTATTAATCCCCTTCTTCGAATACACTGTCCGCGAAATAGCGTATTTATATATTCATGTACTGTCTATCTGGCATATAACGCTGATTTGGATTTGGGAAAGAAACATTTTAAAGAAATTGTAAACTTCGGGTTTCAGTAAGATTTTGATCGAAGAAGTAAGGTACATCAATTTGTTTCATATTTTAGTCGTCCATTCTATAGTACTTACTGTAAACATCCGTATCTGTACACGTGTCCTTTCATGGTTTCTCACATATTTGGACATACATTAAACGTTTAAGTCCAGCGACCGTCCGATTTCAAAAAGAGACTTGGTGTGGATGTTTTTAGGATGTTCATTGTTAATATAATATGTTTAATTTTACAAATGAAAATTAGAGAAAAAGTAAATAAAAATACGTTAAAAAAGATTTTTTCTTACATGCACCAGTGGGTTCGTTATTTGTAGTTTAAAGTACCTACAGCATTTACCACTCGTACAAACGTACGTAGGTAATATATAAAAATATTTAAATTTATAATTTATCTTTAAAAATTTAAATACCAATTATAAATTAATCTCTATAACATTAGGAAATTTCAAATCTTCTTGGATATAATTCATTGAATGTCCTAAAAGTACAAACAATAGACGTATCTTTTTACCTTCCATAAGACATCTATGGATGTCCATAAAAATTTTTTTGCTGTATGCTTTGTGGACGGAGAGTGGTGTTCATTAATTTAGTGGAAAACAGGAGAGTGCACTTCTGAATAGGTAGTTTATACTCCAAGTTTTTGGTTAAAAAATATTCAACTCCTAATTTAACACAACAAACAACGTAAACAAAGAAAAATTTGATATGAGTATTAGTAATAGTCGCTATTGTTAAGGTACTTAATAATAAAAAATGTTTCCATACATTATTGATTAGAACAATTTGCAAGATTTTATATTTTAAATTTGTTGGAACAGGTCATCAAAAGAGTCCTAAAATTTTTTAAACGACAAAGATTCCTTTGGTTAGTTTTGGTTTATGTTGATGATAAATATAAATATATAAATAAATATTGTCATTGAGATTTTTTTTTGTCTCCAGCTTTAAATGTTTTGAAAAATGGTCGAGAACTAGTGCTGCTGAGTGTGCATTTGCCCTATTTGCTAAATCTAGAAAAGATAAGGTTAGGTATATAGCTTAGTCTAACCACGTAACAACTTTTTTACTGTATACTCTTAATATTGGCGTCGTTGTGATCTAAATTTTTCTGCAGGCAGCTTTAAAACGCTAGCATAGTCCGACGTCACCATATTTTGTCAAAAACGCTGCGAAAACGTCTCAATAGATCTCGTCCGGCGCAGTCGGGTCAAAGGCTTGGTTATAGATCAATGGAGTGTGTGATGAATATTTTTTTATGACTTGGAATAACAGTTTCCCGATTTTACTTTACTTAAACTGCCAAGACAAACTTGCACTTTGAATAATTACTGTATGAATTTAATCATTTATATAAAATAAATTGTATATAAAATGTAAAAAGAAACACAAAAAACGTTTTCGCACTTTTGCAAACAAATTTAATGTAGCAATTTTAAATGCGTTATAAATTTAATTTAATCCTTAATTCAAGTTGCAACTCTTTAAAACTATTTTGTTAGTGCCCTTTTGACTCAAAATTATTTTCAATATAGGAACTTCAAAAAATAAAATATTATAAAATTAGGCGCTAAGTCTTTGCGCCTTGCAAAATTCCCAGTACCTTTTCGTCTTTTTTTTAGTTTGCAATTGTTATTTATACGTACGGATATTGAACTGGAAGCAAAGGCATTGACTTAAAAAAGAAAACCCGAAAAATATTTTTTTTTGTTTTTAAATGCGTTTTATAGCATTTTTTGTGTTTCGATGCCAAAATTGCTTGTAATTGAAAAATGGAATTTTTTTCTTCATTACTTCTTAAAATATAGGAGAAATAGTTCGAGGAAAACATTTTATGATCAAATTATAGTGACCAGTGACTAGTGTCTCCAACAACATGTAGCAAAAAGTATTAAGTTTGTCACAGTGAATCTTGAATATTATCTATTTCCGAACGTCTAATGGCAGAGTGTTCAGCCCAGTAATAAAAGAAACATTAACACAAATCAAGAGGGAATAAAGCGCGAAAAGTGAATATAATTTAGTAGCAAATCTCGCGTTTGAAACTTCACTGAGATGCGCCGAAGATATTAATTAAAACTGCGAAAAAAAATTATATTAAACTAAACGCTTTAAAACATGCCGCAAAGGAAATTTAATAATCAATTTTTACGCGGAATTAAAACCGGTAAGTACACGTTGACGTAGGTATAATTCATGTTTTTTAATGGTCCATGAGTAATGAATTTATATATGTCTACTATTTAAAGTTTTCGGGAATATTCGCGACGTATGTCGACGATGAATGCGGTTTATCATAAAATATCATAAATAAATAATAAATATAATAATAAAAATATCTTAACTCTTCTTAAAAAAAAACAGCGACGTATTAGATTTATTGTAGGAAATATATGCAATTTTGGGTATTCTGGTTAATTTCCAATTAAGGTAAAGTCCACCGTTACGCATTTTAGCCGTTAGCGCTTGAACGCTAATTTCTGCGTGTCAAATTGTTTATAATTTAAGATGGCCTATAGTCATAAAAGTAGAAAAATTATATGATATATGATAATGGATTATTATTACTATTATCGCATTAATGTTCTATTTTATTAGTATTATAACAGTTTCGAATATTGTATTTCTTTACTGATTTTTCATTCAATGTCACTGGTGCAATCACATAATAAATCAGGAATTTGGAAAATCTGGAAAATTTGGAAATGTCTCGAACTATTGCAACATACGACGAATCTTCTCAAAAGATTAAACATGGGTTTTACATTCAAAAGCATTCGGGAATATCTTGCTTCTCATCTTAGGTAGGCTATTCTCAAGTTTTACAATATTTTTAATGTTACCTATTTAATGCAAAATTAGAAATTGCTATTGATATTGACTTTTTATTATACCAATCCACTATATGATTTATGCGAAATATAAAATATTGACACTTATTTGACATCCACAATTAACCTCAATATCTACAGTGTATCGGTTTAAGATGAAGACACTCCTATATGCTGGCTAAATAAGTGCAGCTTTTAAGTTTTGCACAGTCACATAGGTTGGTACATAAATTTTGTTTTCATTTGATAAATTACTGCACCATAGAAAGAAAATCTCTTTTAGCAGTGTGTAATTTAAAGTCTTCAGTACAATAAGTAACACCATATTAGGTCCCCTAACGTTGGCAATTACACTGACGACTAGTTCACGTTGTTCAGTTGTCCTCTTGGTTCCTCGATCTCTTCTAAGAAGGTACCCCAGACGTGATATCTTTCTTATCTCGATCGTTTTGAAAAGCTCTATTTGATACGGCCTATTTGGGTCTAGTTGTCCTGTGATATGGCTTGTGATGTGATATGGGTAACTCCTTCAATTTTCTATTTATAGGGAAGCACCGGCGTGTGGTTCTCGACTGAATATCATAAATTTGGTCTTGGTGATATTTTAGGTCCCCTTCTTGACCAGCCCTGTTTACACAATCCGTCAACTTTCTTAGGTAATAGTAAAAAGCCGACTTTAGCCATTCCCCCTCGAATCACTGGCAAGATCTCTGTTGGGTTATTGTATATGACTTATTGGTTTTAGATGTTTTTATGGCATAAATAACTTCAAATTTTAAGATCAGAGGCCTCCCTTACTTTCTTATCCAAGTTGAATGTGACATATTGCCTTTCGACACAAACCATAACGCTAACAGAAAGAAATAATTACTTTATAGTTTTTAGTAAGTAAATGATTAAATTTAATTAAAAA